TTATACAGGAATGATTGTCGGTTTCAGTTTGTTTCACTCCTACTAACACTCAAATTGTTCAATCATCTTGTCTCCACTTCATTACACTAAAACCGACACTTTCATCTCATCTCGCGCCCCGGAACATGTACGGTTCAATAAACCGCACAATATAATTTATTTTACATTTTATATTTTGCAGCATTGCATTTTTACTTTGGTGTGTCGAATCTAGAACGCGACGCATCAGTCTACGTTTCAACCGCGACTCATAAACTCCATACACTATTTCATTAGTCAAATAAGTTTCGTGTGCCAATAAACGGTATCTCTGTAAAATCCATTTTCTTTTCTTGTACGTACACACATCCCGTACATGCTGTCTTACTTTAGTCACGGTAATATTATTGTGACTCCGCCCTGTCCTTGAAAATAAATGCCTACACCGAGCGCTGCGTTGGCACGCGGTAGGGCCGCCAGCCTACAGTATTTTATGTAGTTTTGTTTTTAACGCGAGTGTAGGTAGATTACTTGTTTGTCTCTTTTTTCATCCTAACCACTTATTTATATATTATTCCAGATATTTTGCCCGATGGAAAAACCGAAATACCTAAATATTAGAAACAAATATCGTACTAGTACAGTGGTTCTCAAACTTTTTAAATGACGGAACCCTTTTGGGAAGCAAAATACTTGATGGAACCCTACAATAAAACAATTATTTTTATAAGTGTATTCTATATTAATCAGCATAATAAAAGTACAATGTATCCGTTACTAATTATTATTTACTTCACCACTTGGTAAGGACAATAATAGAAAACATTAAAAAAGAAAAAATCTAACTAGTGGGAGGTATGAAACTGTTTTTTATTTTTCATCAATTGCTTGATATCAGGTTTGATGGAAGAAAGTTGGAGTCTCATATCAGCTTCGGCGTCCAGTCTATTGCGATATTTTGTTTTCGTGGCTGCGTAGGTAGAGAATCCTGTTTCGCACAAATATGTAGTTGGGAACGGGAGAAGAATATCCAGAGCCATTTGGCCAAGCATTGCATATTCATCTTGGATTCTGCACCAAAAATCATTAAGAGGCGTCGTTTTGAACAATGACTCCATACTTGTGTCTGATGACATTTCTAAAAGAGATTCATATATCTCATTTGACATGTTTTCAGGCTTTTCCAAGTTGGGTAAAAAAGGATTATGAATCCAGGAGTTCACTTTAATTTTTGTATTGTGTTCTTCGGGAAAATACTTTTCAAAAGATGCGCGCATCGAACTGAGATATTGGACCAATTCTTCAAACACATTATCTTCAAACATTTCTGAGTCGTTTTCGCTAACAAACTCAGTGAGTAACGTAAAACTTTCTATTTCTTTCTTACCAATGCAAATGATCCAAAAATCTAATTTTCTTTTAAAAGTAGTTATTTTATTATAGGCCTGAAACACTGTTGTCTGTTTACCTTGCAATGATAAATTTAATTCGTTAAGTTTTTGAAAGATATCCGCCATAAAAGACAATCGGAACAACCAAGTTTTATCATACAAACGGTCCTTCAAATTAAAAGAAGTATCTGCTGAAAGAAACATTTGTAACTCGGCTCTAAGTTCAAATAGCCTTGTTAAAGTTTTTCCCCGAGACAGCCATCGCACTTCTGTATGGAGCAGCAGTGTTTTATGTTTGCTGCCATATCTTCACACAATAATGAGAACAATCGGGATTGTAGTGGTCGTGATTTGATAAAATTAATTATTTTTACCGCTTCATCCATAACTAATTTTAGATTAGACGGCATTTGCTTCATCGCAAGTGCTTGTCTATGCAGAATACAATGACTGGAACTACAATTAGGCGCTTTATTTTTCATTCGTGACACTGCTCCTGCTGTTTTACCTGTCATCGCCTTGGCCCCATCTGTACAAATGTCAATGCAATTGTTCCAACTGAGATTATGTTCTTCAAAAAATATATTTATTTTATTAAAAATTTCTTCCCCGGTAGTGTTTGTAAGCAGCGATGAACACATAAGCATGTCTTCTTCAAAAGAACTTTTATATGGATATCTCACAATAACCAGCAGGATAGCCAAACCAGCGACATCAGTCGACTCGTCCATTTGCAAAGCGAATCGTGTATTTTGTAGACGTGTAACTAGTTCTTGTTTGACGTAGCTTGCCAGATCATGGATTCGTCGTGAAACAGTATCGTTTGATAGCGGAACAGTAGAAAGATGCTTTGCAGATTTTTCATCAAGCATACATTTTGTTATGTCTAATACACATGGTTTTATTAATTTCTCAGCGATAGTGTGCGCTTCACCTGCTTGTGCAATGCGATAGCTAACTAAGTATGATGCCTCCGTGGCCTTTTCGTTGGTAGTTTGTGTTACATGCATCATATTTTTTTGACTTTCTAATAACTGATCTTTTTTGCGAACAAAAAATTCTTTATTCTTGTCTTTAGTCTCGGGGTGTACGGTTTCTAAATGTCGACGCAATTTGGCAGGTGCCATGGAACTATTAGGAAGCAGTTTACTACAGAGCATGCAGAGAGGTGAGCCGTTGGAATCAACAAATCCGAAACTGATATAAGATTCATCATACTTCCTTTTTTTCGTCTTTGAAACCGTCGAGCTTGACGTCGTGGCACTCGTGGCATCATCTTCTGGATCGGTGATTGCTAAATTCTCCGCGCGCATTGCTTTTGAACATTCAGCGTCATTAGAAGATGTTGTTGGAACACGTTTAACACCTTTAAGCCAACGTTCCATTCTTCTTTATTTATAATGTTACAAGTCAGGATAGTGGGGTTTAAATAATGCACAATCGTTACTGCGTATAAGAGACTAAATTTAGAACCTACAGGGAAGAAATGTATAAAACTGAGACAACAGAATACAGCAGGCAGTAAAACAATGAACACCAGTTTCTCGCTAGCGAGCTTGTAAGTAGGTAGTAACTTATCGCTCCGAACGCTAATCATCAACTGACGACGCCAACGCGCGATCGCCGCTTTTATACTTAGTCCTAGACTCGATCTCAAATATTCTCGAAAATACTCGAGTCGGCACCTTTGATAAACAAAAAGCAAAAATAAAAACAGAAATTTAAAAATAGCGTTGTAAACAATATCGACTTTATCCTTTGAAGTTAGAGACGAAAGTCGCTAGTTGACAACTATAGCGTCTAATTCAGAGGCGGCTTTTATCAAAGAGACTGAGCGCTTACAAGTATACTACCCGCTCGTTTTAAGTTTGCCGCTGGCGATAGGTATGAGTGTATGACGTTCGAAATTTTTTATTTAATTGTAACAATAAAAATTGTGTACGTTAGATATTTGGGTAAAACTATGACACATTATAAGTTTTGTTGTCACGTGGGGGAGGGTACGCGCATTCCACAGACCGGCAAACTTAGAGCGAACGCGTTGTACAAGTATAAAATTGTTGAGACCAAACTTATGAGATATTGTACCAGCTAATGTAACACAAGCTTATACAAATACAAATAAATAAATAAATAACATTCATAGCGTTTTGTCTCCGCGCGGCCGCGGAGTCCGCACAGCCGCGGAGCGACCAGAGAGAGGTGTTTTGATTTTTTTATTTCTAAATTCTTGCGGAACCCCGACAGAGGTATCACGGAACCCTAGGGTTCCGCGGAACACACTTAGAGTATAGCTGTACTAGTAGATAGGTATATAAAAAATATTCTATAAAGGTAAGACACCTTTCCAATATTTCAGGTAATTTAAAAAATTATATCTCTGGGTGTGTTATTGAAGAGTTCAAGCAACCAAAAACAGCAATTGTGCTGTTGTACGATATTGATCGTCGTTTGTTCTTTTCCATACTAAATTATGTAGGTATCTACTTAACTAAATCAAATAAACAGTAACTGACTGAGTAAACTGCATAAAAAACAGTTCAGGCCGTTCGGTCGTCGTTGCGTGCGGCGCGGCGGCGCATTCGCGACTGGGTGCCCGCCGAGAGCACATCGAACTCGAGTGGCGTAGGTATGACTCGCTTTCCGACCGTTTGTATGAAGATAGAATACTGTATGATATTATTACCGTGCTTACTAAAGCTAGTACTAACTAGCTAGATGAAATAGGGGCGTCCTTGTCGGTTTTCTGAAGGAACTGTAAAATTGTCGTTACAGATACCCATATGTTTCGCTACGCTCTAGTCGGACGCCTTCTATTGCAAGGCGGACGCCTTCTGCCTGTGAGGACAGATTATCACCATGGAAGCCGAAAATATAGTTTTTTTTTAAATTTAATTCGAAATTATTTATCTGAAATGGGTATAGAAAAGATCTTCGTGTAATTGAAGTTTTAAGCATTTTATTTTCCAAGTTTCCTGCGGTTAATTTCATGCACCCAGATTGTATGATTTCTTTTTAATATTGACGCCAGTAACAATAATTCTTGCTCATCAGAATCTGAAAGCGACGACTGTTAGGTCCCGCAGTCTACGAAAATTACAATGACATATCTTTGCGAAAACGTAAGTAGTGTACTACTTACGTTTCCGGAGATTCGCTGCCGCATGCGAATGCGTAAGTGGACAAGGCGTTAACTGAACTTATCATAGCAACTTATTCGGTCGAAAAGTGGATGCAATTTCCCACTAAAGGACTTGACTGTTATTTCTAATCATCATTCATCATCAGCCTATTCATGTCCCCACTGCTGGGGCACAGGCCTTCCCTATGGATGGAATAGGGAGATTGGGCCATGACCCACCACGCGTGTACAATGCGGCAATGTACAATGCGTACAATGCGGTGCTAACGACTGCAGATGCAGCCGGGCCAACGGCTTAACGTGCGTTTCCGAAGCACGGAGGAACTCGAGGTAGAAGATTTATGATCACCCATCAATGAATGACCACTGCGAAAGTTGCTTGACTTCAACAATCGCAGCCGAACGCGCTAACCACCTGCGCCATCGCGCTCCTCCTCCTCATGAATAATATCTTATGTTGTGATTTCTCTGTTTGCTTAATGACGAAGGACTGTCGGTCGTTCCGCGTCGGAAACACGTGCTGCGAGTTTATCTGCCTCGATGACGTGGTGAAGCCGGCGGATGCGGCGGAGGCAAACGTGCGCGTGGCGGCCGGCGGCGCCGCGGCCCTGGTGCTGCTCACTGTGGCAGTGGTGGTGTACCGAGTGCGTAGGATCAAGCGGCGCCGCCCACCGCACGCGGACGACCAGCGCAGCCTCACGAGTATTGGGTACTACACTCATAATCAAAAATCATTTGAGAAGCTGGCGAACAAAACGGTATAATTACATAAAATTAAATTTTACAGGAGCAGTAAAAAGCTGAATGACATACCTACAGTGAGCTTTTGGCGTGATTTTTAATTTACCTAGTAATTTTAACACTATTTAGCAGGTTTTGGTTGACATGAGTAGAAATTCAAATTCAGCTGGCCCAAAACCTCCGGACTGTAGAAATAAAGTATTATATGGTCAAAACCATATGCGTAATTATACCGTTTTGTTCGCCAGCTCCTAATTTATTCAGTGTAGGCTGTTAGACAAGCAACTTGTGAGGGTCAAGCAGCTACGCCATCGGTTCGTGAAACTACGGCGGGGGACCTTGAACTGAAACCTTCTTTCTTGGCAAGAAACGTAGCAAGGGCGATTTTTTTTTCTCTCTCTCTCGATATTAGATGTCGGGTGCCTCTCTACGGTAAAACCAACGAGAACATGTGTGTCTGCCTTTAATCCATACTTATACTCATTGACTATACTAATTATTATGGATGCGAAACTGTGTCTGTCTGTGTATTGTTAACGCTTCACGCTTAAACCTCTGAATCGATTTAGATGAAAGGAGAACACTCATGCAAAGGGGAGGTTGGTACAGATACCAAGTTTTTTATACAGGAGCAAAATATATACCATTGTTAAGTTTATTGTACATAAAATAAAATAAAATCACTGTCGTCTTTTTCCGAAAATCGAGTCGTCTATTACGAAATCGTAGAAAAATAGCACAAATCACAAAATCAAAGACAGCATCGGTAAAATACAAAGAAACAAAAAATATTCGCATCGCAAGCGAAATGGCCAATGTTATAATGACAGATCACTGACAGACACTGACATTATAAGTTGCCATGTGACGTTAGTTACCTTTAATAAAATCGAATAGGAAATCGATGTTATTATTAATAATATAATGGTGTCGATTCTAGCATGATTCTCTAAACCTAAACCTTAATTTGACAGCAGTATATCCTTGTCATTTTCTATACAGAATGAAAAGGAGAGACTGATGTTAAATTTAGTTTTAAGTTTAGAGAATTACGCCAGAATTGGCACCAATATTTCGTCTGAGATTTGGAGTTAAAAAAAACTCCAACTGGTACGCGATATTTTTCTTACAATTAATTAACGTTAAAAACATTACTTATTTGAGCAATTTCAACAGTACTTCAATAAAACCATCAACTCATGATTAGTTGAATCATTGTTTCAAATACATTAGCATACTAGGTTCCTTTATACGCTAAACGCTACGTTGCTTTATACGTTAAAGTTTTTATACATTTTTTTAAGTTCCACCACTGGCTAAAAAAATACTTTTTATCTTATTAATACTTAACATAATATTATCAAAAAATTATGTTTGTACAACATCAGTACCAAAATGGTTGTTCTCCTTTGGTATATATACAGTTTGGGTGCCGTGGAGTACATAGGATAGTTTTTATCTCGGAAATCATTCTTTAAGGGGGTGAATAGGTGGCGGGAGTTAGTATGGAAACCGATTATCCACGCAGACCAAGTCGCGTACACCTACTAGTACGCATATAATATATGCCAGCCCAAGTTGACTAAGTTCATCATCATAAGTCTTTTAATGTCCCCACTGCTCGGGCACAGGTCTTATGGATGGAATAGGGAGATTGGGCCGTGCGCGACCCACTACGCGAGCCCAGTGATGGGTGCTAACGACTGCAGATAGGACGACTGCAAAGCACTGAGATAATTAGTTTTTTGGTTACCCATCCAATGATCGACCATTGCGAAAGTTGTTTAAATTCTGCGATTGCAAGCCGAACGCGCTGAAACCACCTGAGCCATCGAGCTCCTAACGTGTGACTAAGTTGCCACTTATCATTGTCTCTACATTGATTTTTAGATACATCAGCGGTAGTATGGGTTATATGGGAGGAACATGTGAGACGGCCCTGGCGGCGTGGAAACCCCACGGAAACTACTTACCTCGAGGAGAAGCCCCGCCTCCCTATGATGAAGTTATAGCGCAATGCAGACCTGACACTATCAGGTAAAGATTATATTGCATTTTCTTATACCATTATAGTTTTTTCATGTTAATATTGCTTGCGTTTATTTACATTGGTATTTAATTAAAACTAAATTTAACATCAGTCTTTCCTTTTCATTATGTATAGGGAATGGCAAAGTGTAGCTTTGCTATTTACCTAAACTTAAATTTAGGTTAAAAGAATTTATTTCTCATACGATCTTACACAGACAGTAGGTATTGTTCCATCAGTCACTCGATGCATAGCATTATGAAAGATATGGAGTCGCTTATGCAACTCATTGCGTTAGAAATTATATTTATTTATTTAATTTTTGGTTTTTCTTTTATATAAACCATGTCTTGATAAAAACGAACACAACACTGTGTTTAAACACTGTTGTCAAATTAAAGTTAAGTTTAGGTTTAGAGAATGTGTAATCTATATTTCTATACTACTAGTATGAAGAGTTCAGTAAGTGAATAAATTAGGTACCTTAGCAACTATTTCAATTCTTTCTCCAATATTATGAATGGAATTTCAAGCTTATTGGTCACGCCACAAAACAAAACAAATTCCCGGCGCGGATGTGCGATTATATACAAGAAGAAAACACAAAAACTAGAGGGAAACTGTGGGAAAGGGGGTACCTGTTGGTTTGTTGGGCTGGTTCCTTGACGCCTGTTCTTCCTGTCCTGGAGAAATGTTCGCCTGTGGCGCGCCACTATTTCTTTTTTACACTAATGTTCGCGGGATGTTCGCGGGCCCCGGGGCGGAAATATTTGTAGGCGAAAAGCGTCTCCGGAGCGCGGTTTTTTCTCAGTCGTGGGAGTTTCTTGGTATCTCCTCTCGGCGATCAGAGCACACAATGGCCGTTGCCTTTTTCTCCCGTCCGTTCGTTCGAATTGCAGCGATGGCAGCACCGCGGACGAAGTTGAGTTTAGAGGAAGGGATAAGGTAAATGTGTTTTCGCAAGCTTACGATAGATGGCGTTAACATATCCACCCCCCCTTAAAGGGTCACCTTCAAAACAATCATAATAAAGGCGAGAAAAACAACAATCCAAACACTTACATGTGTTATAGCGAATTAAGCGGAATTTACTAATTGACTAAAATATATATACTTACATACATTAAACTACATATACTTAATCTTAAATTATTATTCTAATTTTAGTGTAAAGTGTAGTTGTGATAAATATGTTATTGAACTCAATAACATATTTATCACTATATAATAAGGTAAAGGACATAAACGAACAACCGGGCGTGTATACGTTCCTCGAGGGGTTCTGACAGTAGCTCCGCGCACGATACCATCCTTAGAAGGGTGAATTTTTTCTACTACTGCCAGAGGCCAAGAGAGAGGTGGCGCATTATCTACTATTATGACCACTATCACGCCGGGGGTGATAGGAACGGAGAGCGTATTCCACTTCTGTCTAACTTGAAGGCTGTGGAGATATTCTACACTCCATCGCTTCCAGAACGACTGTACCAACTTGTCTAATAAAGAATGTCTCTGAAGTAGAGAAACGTTATCTGTAACCTCAGGTGCGGGTAGTGACGGTAAAGGGAAATTATTTAAAAAATGGCTGGGAGTCAAAGCCGTAGGCTCCGAAGGATCCGAGCTTAACACGGTAAGTGGACGCGAATTTAGTAAACATTCTATCTGTGTTAAAACCGTAAGCAATTCCTCATAAGAAAGGAGTTGCTGTCCTATTACCTTATAAAGGTGATTCTTTATCACTTTCACCATGCTCTCCCAACATCCACCAAAATGACTAGCGGAAGGGGGGTTGAACCTCCATTCTATTTGATTCCCCGAAAAGAAATCTTCGAAAATATGATCGTCTCTAAATATGAATTCGCGCCGACAAAATTCGTACCATTATCAGAGTACATGCATTTCACGGGACCGCGACGAGATAAAAACCTTTTAAAAGCTGCGAGAAAGGTAGGAGTGCTTAGGTCGGTTACCAATTCAATATGAACAGCGCGAGTCGTGAGGCAAGTGAACACGCATATATATGCCTTTTCGGATCGAACACCTCTACGGCGGACTGGCGTATACGAGATGGGGCCGGCGTAGTCACATCCCGTATGCGTGAACGGCTTTATAACGGGACGAACGCGGAAATCAGGCAAATCTGCCATTAATGGAAGGGAAGGTCGCGGTTTGGCGCGGAAGCAAAGATTACATTTGTGTATGCGCTGGCGTACAATGCGGCGGGCGGACATGATCCAATATCTTTGTCTGAGCAAAGACATAAGCAGTTCGGGCCCAGCATGCAGGTATGTATGATGATAATAATCTACGATTAAATGCACTATATGATCGTGTCGCGGTAATATAAATGGATATTTTTGAGCGTACTTAAGGGCAGAATTTGAAAGCCGACCACCTACTCGAATTACATCGTTCTCAATGAACAGGTGAAGTTTATTAAATGCGGGTGAACAAGGTTCAGCACTCTTAAGCTTTGAAATCTCGTCAGCGAAATACACGTGCTGTAACACTTTAATAATTTGAACTTCGGTGAAACTCAAATCGGCCGCCGTAATAGTTGCGGATGCGCGGCGTTGCAACTTTCTCGCGAATCGAAAAATATAAACTGTTATACGGAGGAGTTTGCTCCATGATGATTTGCGAAGAGCAAGAGCGTAAATTACAGACTCCCTAGCGGGGGCGGTAGCGGTATAAACACATAACTTCTATTCCGGCACTTCGGAGACGGAAGTTAGAAAATCTCCATCGTTGAATGGCCTAAGTGAACAATCGGACAATAGCCACGGTGGACCATGAAACCAGAGGGGATGCTTCACTAGTTTCTGTGGCGTTAGGCCACGCGATAAACAATCGGCGGGGTTTTCGGACCCGGCGACGTGATGGAAATTTTCGGCAGGAATATTTTCGGTCACTTTGACGACACGATTTGCGACGAATGTCTGCCAACGATGGGGTAAACTCTTTATCCAGTAAAGCGCTACCTTAGAATCGGTAAAAGCGAAAATATTTATATTTAATGTGGCGGCATACTTATTTAAGACCGTGTACGCATTAATTTTGCGAGAAGCACAATCCCACAGAGCTCCAATCTAGCGATAGTATGAGGGGTAGTTGGCGCGACCTTAGACTTCGCGCAGACCAACCGTACTGTGACACCTCTGTTAGTTTCTACGCGTAGGTACACTACACCACCATACGCCCTTTCACTTGCGTCTGAAAATCCTATTAAGGAAATGACGCAATTGCCAGCGACGCCGACGTGACGCGGAATGCGAATATCGTTTAAAGCTAGAAGCTCGGAACGGAACTGTAACCACTGTTTGACCAATTCCGAAGGGGGAGCTTCGTCCCAATCGACTCCTAGTTGCCATAAGCGCTTTATGATAAGTTTCGCGTACAACACAGTCAGTGCGATAACACCAGTGATATCCCACAACCTCGCCACGGTGGATAAAATTGATCTTTTGGTACAAGTGTTATCGGTGGGGACCGATACATTAAAGTAGAATTCATCAGAGTCCCTACACCAGCTATACTCTAAGTGTGTTCCGCGGAACCCTAGGGTTCCGTGATACCTCTGTCGGGGTTCCGCAAGAATTTAGAAATAAAAAAATCAAAACACCTCTCTCTGGTCGCTCCGCGGCTGTGCGGACTCCGCGGCCGCGCGGAGACAAAACGCTATGAATGTTATTTATTTATTTATTTGTATTTGTATAAGCTTGTGTTACATTAGCTGGTACAATATCTCATAAGTTTGGTCTCAACAATTTTATACTTGTACAACGCGTTCGCTCTAAGTTTGCCGGTCTGTGGAATGCGCGTACCCTCCCCCACGTGACAACAAAACTTATAATGTGTCATAGTTTTACCCAAATATCTAACGTACACAATTTTTATTGTTACAATTAAATAAAAAATTTCGAACGTCATACACTCATACCTATCGCCAGCGGCAAACTTAAAACGAGCGGGTAGTATACTTGTAAGCGCTCAGTCTCTTTGATAAAAGCCGCCTCTGAATTAGACGCTATAGTTGTCAACTAGCGACTTTCGTCTCTAACTTCAAAGGATAAAGTCGATATTGTTTACAACGCTATTTTTAAATTTCTGTTTTTATTTTTGCTTTTTGTTTATCAAAGGTGCCGACTCGAGTATTTTCGAGAATATTTGAGATCGAGTCTAGGACTAAGTATAAAAGCGGCGATCGCGCGTTGGCGTCGTCAGTTGATGATTAGCGTTCGGAGCGATAAGTTACTACCTACTTACAAGCTCGCTAGCGAGAAACTGGTGTTCATTGTTTTACTGCCTGCTGTATTCTGTTGTCTCAGTTTTATACATTTCTTCCCTGTAGGTTCTAAATTTAGTCTCTTATACGCAGTAACGATTGTGCATTATTTAAACCCCACTATCCTGACTTGTAACATTATAAATAAAGAAGAATGGAACGTTGGCTTAAAGGTGTTAAACGTGTTCCAACAACATCTTCTAATGACGCTGAATGTTCAAAAGCAATGCGCGCGGAGAATTTAGCAATCACCGATCCAGAAGATGATGCCACGAGTGCCACGACGTCAAGCTCGACGGTTTCAAAGACGAAAAAAAGGAAGTATGATGAATCTTATATCAGTTTCGGATTTGTTGATTCCAACGGCTCACCTCTCTGCATGCTCTGTAGTAAACTGCTTCCTAATAGTTCCATGGCACCTGCCAAATTGCGTCGACATTTAGAAACCGTACACCCCGAGACTAAAGACAAGAATAAAGAATTTTTTGTTCGCAAAAAAGATCAGTTATTAGAAAGTCAAAAAAATATGATGCATGTAACACAAACTACCAACGAAAAGGCCACGGAGGCATCATACTTAGTTAGCTATCGCATTGCACAAGCAGGTGAAGCGCACACTATCGCTGAGAAATTAATAAAACCATGTGTATTAGACATAACAAAATGTATGCTTGATGAAAAATCTGCAAAGCATCTTTCTACTGTTCCGCTATCAAACGATAC